TGGAACTATGATAGTTTGAGGCTATGAACAACATTTTGGGTTAAGGGATTTATGAAACTATGTTCCTGATTTTTCCTTGAATTTTATGGTTATTTTATGATGATTTTAGCATACTGTTTGAGTAAGGTCATGTACATTAATTGGCCTCTCTATCTTATCTTATATATATATAAAGTAGGGTTAATTAGCGGTGGGGCTGACACGTGGCAATCCACATAGATGCTTATTTGGCCCGTATTTCCTGACTCATCAACTTCAATTAATGGAATCATATTTCATCCGTTACTTCCGAGGGATCTCTCTAGAAGTTCTTTAGACGTTGGGAAGCGGCGATTCAATAAGCCAGAAACCTGAATAGCCGCTCAAATTTCTTCCGGTGTTCCGGTTATTGAATCGCAGGTATGTCATATCCTGTTTATCCTTTCTGCTGAAATCAAATTTAGCTGTTTAGGTTCAGATCAAATTGTTTGCTGTAGGTTTGTAACATAATATAAGAAGACTAATACTGATCAGATTATATTCAGACCTAATGCTCTTGCCTTGGTTGGTAACAAGTATAATGCCTGTCTGAGTTATGTTTCTGCTTGAATGCATCCCTGTTGACGAAAGTTTGTGTTTCTCAGAGAGCAGCTTAAAAACTGTATTTCACAGTATTGTTATATTTAAATCACGCCTTTGTAAATACCTGCAATTATATTGAGTAGTAGTGTTTGATACCTCATTGGAGTTAACTCTGTGTGACTATCTGTCATTCACTCATTTGGCAGGGTGACCCTCTGAAGGTCAAAGTCAACAAACTGGCTTCTACTAGAACTCAACTTCCTTATTCATATTATTCCCTCCCTTACTGTAAGCCAGATCGCATTGTGGACAGTGCAGAAAATCTTGGCGAGGTTCTTCGGGGTGACCATATTGAAAACTCTGTTTATGAGGTACACTACTCTTTTAATGATGATTGAAATCCGTGATGTCCCTAAATTGTTAAAATTCGGTCTAACAGAAGGTTTTGTGCAGTTTCGTATGAGGGAACCACAGATGTGTAACATTGCATGTCATATTGTTCTTAATGCAAAAACAGAAAAAGAATTTAAGAAGAAGATAGATGATGAATATCAGGTGAGCATGTAGGGGGAACAATTAAAAGTTCTCTTGATGCTGTTTTTGTCAACTGTATGATAGTCAACGGTGTCTGATTTAGTACTTGAATGTAACGGGATTGAATTCTTTTGCATTCGAGAATCCACGAATGTAACTTGAATGTAACAGGATTAAATATAAAGTGAGAAAGCCACCAGACTGAGCATCAGTTATTCTTCGAATGAAGGTTAATTGGGTTTCAAATTGCAGCATGGAGGTAATTTCACTTATTGATTTCTTTCTGATTTCTTCTTAGTTGGAGTTCTATTTCCAACTATGATGTACTTGCTTCTGTCTAACAGCTTTGAAGGTGTCTCCTCTCGCT